TTATATTTTATTTATTATTTTTATTATATGTGCATGAGTGTATTACCTGGATGTGTGTAAGGGTGTAACCTATGTCATGTCATGCCCATGGAGGTCAGAAGAGGGCATCAGATCCCCTGGAACTGAAATTACAGACAGTTGTTAGTCATCATGTGAGTGCTGGAACCCGGGTCCTTTGCAAGAACAGCCAGTGCTCTTAACCGAGTCATCTTTCTAGCCCCTGGGTTGATAATTCTTGAATCTAGAACACCATCCATTTTTTTTTTTTTTTGAGAGGAGCGGAAGGGCGAGGAGAGGGGAGAGGAGAGAAGAGTACGGAGAGAGGGGGAGAGAGAGAGGGAGAGGGAGGGGGAGAGGGAGGGGGAGAGGGAGAGGGAGAGAGGGAGAAGGGGAGGAGGAGAGGGAGAGGGAGAGAGGGAGAGAGAATGGGTGCACATGGAAGCCAGAGTGTTCCACCTTGTTTGTTGAGATAATCCCATCTCCACCTCCTCAGCACTGGGATTGTAAGCATGCACCATCATGCCTGGCATTTTTATGTGCTGAGATTGAAGTCAGGTCCTCATACTTCTGTGACTAATATTTACTTCAGAGCTCTGAGGACCATCCTTAAAGCAAAATATACTCTTTGAGGGACAAGGATATGGAGAAGTGTAGTGTCTTTAAGTAAAACAGAAAGGAGCTGTTCAGACTAAGAGAATGTGGGAGGTGAGCATAGCACTGTGATGAGGATGCAGAGAGGCAGGTGCAGGATGTGGGGGGGGGGTCCAGTTTGTGTGTAAGAGAAATTTCTTTTCTCAAGGATGGAGTTTAAAAGTAGCATTTCTGACCAACATGACCATCTTTGTGTTGTTGGCTCTCACCAAACCTTGGTTGATAGCTAGTCTCATGGTTTTCTATTAATCATGCAGTGATTGAAAAAGCCAAGTTGCATCTTGAAATACACGCACAAAACAGATCATCTAATTATTGCATGTTGAGTCAGTCCTCTAGAACTGGTCTTCTGTCTTTGAGAACCTATAATGATAGAGCTCGGTCAATGTGAGACTCCCCACCAGCTGTGACAGACTAGATCCTCACCCAGGGCTGGGAATGAAGTATCAGATATTTGGGTGTGAGAGTGTGTATGAAGATTGTATATAGAAACTGCCACGCCCACACCCACATACCATCATAGGGTGGAGTCATTTGTTGCCCTTAATCCTATCCTCATCATTTTCAAACATTTTGATCTTTGATAATGATAGGTCCATAAGGACACAGACTAGAAACAATTAGAGGACCTAAAGGGCATCTTTCCAGCAATAATCACTTATCTGCCCATCACTTCTCAACTTCCTGCACAACTGGGTCATATCCATAATAGGATGTGGTTCCTAAAGAAAAAGAGGGTCAGGTCCTGCAATATGTAATTAATATGGTCACAACACCTACCTATATTACTCTTTTGGCATTTGGAGAGGGAATTTGGAGGGAGAATTGTCCGAAGTTAAGATGAGTTACCATGCACCTATTTTCTGAAGAAAAACAACAACAAATATCCTGAATATTTAGTCCTGATGTTTTTGAAGATGCTTTAGAACTTTCAATGGTTTGCGACTGAGAGTGACAGGATCTCTGAAGTGTTGTGTGAAGAACACTGGCCAAGGGAGGCATTGAAAGTAGTACGTACAGGCATTATAACCACTCTGACATGCTGTATTAGGTGAGCTGCTACATCTGTGCAGTTCAAGTTCCAGGTTCTAGCCTGTTACCAAATAGAAGAATGATTCTGACACACCACTTCTTTTTCCCAGTGGTTGAATGGGAGCTTTTCTAAAATTTCCCTCAGCTCTGATATTCTATGCATGCCTTGATTTTCTATCATTGGAGCTGAGGAAACCTGAAAACTTTCTTTTTTAAAAAAAATTTTTTTCAGGGAAAGAGGAGAGATAAATAACACCTAGATGGTGTAAAGAATCAGAGGCAAACATACTAGTTCAAAACCTCCTGAAAAATTATACATATAATATCTCTACATGAGCCTATATGTATAGCTTAAGGCTATATAGCAAGAAAAATGCCATCCAAGAGAAACCTCCTTTTGAGTTACTGGCCAGGGTGGTCCAAGAGACTCCCAAAATCACACAGGCTATTGCCACAGCCCTTGATGGCCTCCCCAGACTTGAAGGTAAGATCTTATTGCTGAAGACAGGAAATACTTCAGACACGGGACTTGGACCCGGAAGCCACCTCCCTAAAGACTAGCTCTCATTGTTTGGGGGAACACTATGCAAGCTGCTAAAGGAGAACATCAATTGATGGTACAACCCCAGCTTCAAGGCCTAATAACCACAAAATGACCAGTACAGCAAACTACATTGGGGCAGTAGTGGCACTTTTATCTTGGGGGTAATCAATAGCTACCTAATTGTGCTTAAAGTCCACTCAGTGGGAGGGAACTCATGTGTAGTACAGTAAACACATGGCTGGAGAGGTCACAGATCTTGAAGATCTGTGTCACATCCTTAGAAAAATATGATTTCTTACTATGTGCTAAATATGGATCCTTATATTTATATACAATTATGTCAGTCACTACTCATCAAAGAAGCTTCTTTTGCAATAGATGGAGACTATTATAGAGTTCCACTACTGGTCACACACAGATTAAATGTCTGCAAAATGCCTAACCCTAATTGACAAATCTACAATGGAACCTCTGTACCTAAGGCTCATGGAACATAGAAAAACAAGGGGTAGACGCATCTCTAATTCTCATCAATGAAGCTCCCTCATGCACTGGAGGGCAATGAACACAAAGGGCCACAAATAGCCAAAGTGTAGAGAATAAGAGTCTGCAGAGTGTGGGTCCTTATACAGGACTTCTATATTAAACTTCACCCACCCAGGGCTCAGGAACCATCGCGGAGGAGGGGTTGGAGAAATGGTAAGAGCCAGGGGAGGAGGTGCATGATCATATGGAAATAGAGTCTTACAAGCTCTTGGGACCTTGCTCATATGAACTTAAAGCAATGGTGACAGTATGCGTAAGACACAAGCAAACTCAAGTAGACTAAAACGCAGCATAGAACTGTGGAAATGGACAGCAGGTTCCAATCTTAGCCAAAAAACTACTGCAAAGCTGATTACTGCTGGATGAGGAAGAGCTGATCTTCTTTAAAGGAGAGACTCTAGATAGGCTGACTAGACCCCAGTGGGTGGACTTGCACTGAGGGACATCTGGTGCTACTAACTTGACTTGATAGGCCTTAACATAAATGTCAGAATGCATGAAATCCAGTGGGGGGCTATGCAAGGGTGCTGATGGGGAAGGGGGTATAAGGATGATTAAGATGCTGTGTATGAAATACACAAAAATTCAATATTCCTAAAACAAAGACCTCTAGATAGGCTGACTAGATTCACCGGGTGGACAAGTATTGGGAATGGCTGGGGGTGCTGACAACACAGTGGACAGTAGCAGGGATGACAGAGTATAAGGGCTCTAGTGGGGCGGGGGGAGGCTATGGGAGGGTGCCATCTGGGAAGTGGGTGTATAGTTGAATAAGACGGTTTGGGATGTTCCGTGTGATATACACACACACAAAATCAACAAATGAAAAAATGAGTTATATTTGAGGAGGAAGCATAAAAATTTATGTCATGTTAATTAGTAGAGGTGATAAACATTACCATTGAAATCTACCCGATGACTTTATAGACATACACAGGTGCCAAGGATCTGAGTGGAACCGACTATGACTAGTAATAATCAAACATAAAGATTAGAGATGCATACACCAACATCTAAGTGTTGTTAGCAAAAACAATGAGTCTTTCTGTAAGAAACAGCATGTTTTAAAATGAAATGGAAATCTTTTTGAAGGTTAAAAACTCATTCAATTTTATGTCTTATAGGGTTTATACTAAGTTCAATATTGTATAAATGTATTAATTCAACCATGAACCTAAAAATTTTATAGCCAGTTTTGAAAGGGATGTATTTTTTCTCTGGAAATTGTTATTGAGTATGTTAAAGCTGTAATGAAATGCTTCTTCTAAAAAAAAGATTAAAAAATACAAAAAAGTCTATTTCATAGTTACGTGTATGTGGGTATGTATGCGTTTGTATCTGTGGGGGATGAATATGTGCATGTGAGAGAAAGTGTTCACGGAAACCAGAGGTACCAGACCCTGTGGAGCTGGAGTTATAGGCCATTGTGAGCCACCTAACATGGATGCTGAGAATTGAACTCTGGTCCTCTGAAAAAGCAGACTGTGCTCTTAACTGTTGAGCCATTTCTCCAGCTACCAGGAAACCTGAAAACTTTCTAATAGCAGGGATAAGGTCTGGAACAATTCTGTGTATTTACAAAGCTGCTAGGCTGGGCTTCCGTCTCAGTGTTGACTTGCTCTCAAATCATAGAAGGAGACAGAAAGCAGAAAGAACAGGGACATCACAGTCATGGACCATGGCACACTTTATTACTGAATTTATCAAGTCTGTGATAAGGATTCTTCTGGACAGAGGTAGAAGAGCCCATGGTCATTTACTACCTTCCCTGACCAATAAGTGTCCCTCTGCTGTCAGTGAATTAAGAGATCTAGACACAAGGATGCGTCCTATACTGGGACTGATGAAAGAAGATGGCAGTGGGTAAAGAGAGACTAAACTAGCTCCCCTTGCCTCAAACCATGTCCAGAAGGCCCTGGGATGGGAATGTAGCAAGCTATGAACCAGTCTCCATTGCAGAGATTCGGAGGCCCATGTTTTGTGTGACCCTTTGTATGCTGAATGTGATTTTTTTTTAGTATATCCTTTGTGTCATTTTGACTATGCATCTCAGGTTTGACCAGCCTTCTCCACTCAATTCTGGGGCAGGCCGAACTTCACCCTTGTAAAATTTCAACCAAAAACAGAGTTCTGAGCAACAACTCCTTGTGTTACATAAATAATGTCAACAGTATATAAAGTTTCTCTCTCTCTCTCTCTCTCTCTCTCTCTCTCTCTCTCTCTCTCTCTCTTCACACATCTACTCACTCACTCACTCACTCTTGTGAGACTCATTTTCAGGATGATCCATTCAGGTACTCAATAAGACAACAGCTCTGAGTACAAACACATGCTTGAACTCAAGCCTCTTCCTTCACCTCAGACAGCAGAAAGCATCTAAGAGAAGACTACCCTGGCCCAGCCCTAAGACATGAGGCCTCAAAGGCTCTAGATAGAGCTAGTCTCTTCTGGTGGGTCGGTACTGGCAATGTGGGTGGCCCAGGCTACTCCTTAAGCAGCCCCAGTTTCTTCAGGGCTTCCCTCCTGTGTTCATCAGGGACGCCCTTTGGGGAGATCTTGACACTGACACAGGGTGGTCGAGGAAGCTTGTCACGGCTCTGTCCTTGGTAGGACAGAGGCAGGGAGCACTGGTCCAGGTCTGCCAGCATGCCCCCCTGAATTCCAGCAAAGTCCTTCCTCGTGCCCAAAGAGGCAGGGCGGGGTCTGGAATTCCGCAAGACGCTGGGTGAAGCCTTGTCCAAGAGGGAGCCCAGAGATGGGCTGGCTTGGCAGCTGGGGTCTTTCTCAGATGCCAGGAGATAGCTGCTCAGTCCCACACCTGAACGCTCCAGAGTATTAGACTTGAAGTTTATCTGTTTCAGGCCAGGGATGCTACTTTCCTGGAGGGTCAGCCCTGGATCAGACTTGGGTTGTTCCAGAGAGCTCTTTACCTTTGGAGCCTTAGGGATAGGAATGGGCGTAGATCTGGCAGCTGAAACTTTTCCTGGAGGGGGTTCCTGGGCAGGAATCCAAACCTTGCCTGGAGAAGCCATAGGAGCTACAGCCTTCAGTGGGGAAGGTCTGAACCCTGGAGCTTTCCCTGCATTAGGAACAGCTGCTGAGACCAGAGCTGGTGTTGTTGGCTGAACTGGGGCTGGGGCCTGGGAAGGGCCCTGACCAGCAGCCTCCTTGAATCTGAGGGCACTGGTGTGCTTACCTACAAGGACGTTGGGATCATCTTGGTCCTGGGGCAGCCCCAGCTTTTCTAGAGCCTCTCTGCGTGCTTTCTTCTGCTCTTGCAGGGAAGAGGAGACAGAGTCTATAGCCTCAGTGTGGCAGGACAGCCAGTTCTGTGGATGGTTGTGGAAACTGCTTCGGCTGCTCTTCAGAACAATATTGGGTGGCAGCTTCCGGGGCTTTGGGGTTGTGAGGGGAGCCTGTTGGATGTTTAGTTTGACCCCTGATAATAAGGGAGCCTCTTCAGCTCTAATATTTTGAGATGACTGAGCAGGCGGCAGCTGTGCTTGTTGTGGACCCTCTGTCCAGCCTTTCTCAGTGGTTTTATGGGACGTCATTTCTGAAGACATTTCCTCTCTCTTCTGGGAGATGACCAGAGTGTGGAGCTGGGGTGTGTGGCTCTGCTCTCCTGGTTCTTTGGGTGAGCTGTCTTCCCCACCTTGCTTTGGCCTGGTGTCCTGGAAAGCCTCTGGTGGGGGGATGAGAACTGCATTCAGGTCAAAGGTAGCTTCCTGGGACCGGGCTGGTGCCTGGATGCGCTTACTCCTCTGGCTGGCCTGCCCTTTCTTAGGCTCTGCGAGGAGCACCTCAGGTGCTTCAGAGAAGTGGCTGTTAGTCTGGGTGGCACTTTTCCCGAGGTTCTGGCTTCTTCCAAGGTGGAGGTTTCTGGGAAGGCTGTATGAACCACACCTGAGGCCCAGGCTGTGGGACTCGGGAGGATTGGAGGCCTGGATCACTCTCTTTGGCTCTGGTGCTTCCTGAATGTTTATCTCCTCTGGCTTTTCTACGAGGATTAGGGAGAACAAGCAAAATGAGTAGATGGAGGCGAGAATGCTGCTACAAGGGAAAAGCAAACTATCTCCCCCATTGAGCAACAAATGGGGTTTGCTTTGTTTGCTTTTAGAGGGGTAGTGCTCTTGGTTGGAGGTCATGTAGATGAATAGGTTAAGAATGAAAGGCTAACTTTGGCTGCAGATGGTAGTTTTTCATGATAGTTGGGAGATATTGGCTCCAGGTTGCTTCACACCCTGACTTGGGCTCTCCCTGCCTTCTACAGAGACACCAAAGTTGGGAAGAGAAGTGAGGACATTCCTTCTAGATAGCTCATGGGCCAGGTAACTGAGGCCAGCGTACCTGCCTTCACCTTCTTTTTTCCCTTTCTGTGAGTACCTGGATGATTCTGTGATAGCACAGTGCCTATACCAGAGAGTTACATGGTGTCTCCCCTACCAGTGATCTTGGCAGGTATGTGAGGTCCACTGGGCACAGTGAGTTAGCCTCAAGGTACAATGAAGCTCCAGTTTTCTACAGTGTCTGCAAGGACGGCTTAAGGCAGTGTTAAATATAAGCCAAATGAATGAATGAATGAATGAACGATTGCAGTCCTGATATCAGTGTCCATAGTATTACTGTCCATAGTAATAAAGTTTTCAATGAGCCCTAGGACACATGACACAACTTGTGTGCCAGCCTATCCTCTTCTTCTGAACTAGAAAACCCCTGGCTATCCACCCACTTTAATAGGGGTTTTGAGGCACCACAAACTGCCCTTGGAAAGCTCTTCTCTCTTCTTATCTCTCACAGTCTTGTTCTCTGGGTTACCCAGATTAGCTACCTAGGCTGACTCAGTCCCTGCAGGGCCAACCACCTAAGGCCTCCCTGACTCCTCCCCCACCTAAGGCCACCCCTCTTCCTCCTCTGCTACTTCACAGAAAGAGAGAGGAAGCTAGCTTATAGGGAGTCTTCCTGCCCCTCTAGACACAAGGCTTTATTCTGGCCAGAAGAGTGCAGGGTTCCCTCTTCTGCCTGGGACCCTTGTAGCAGAGGGCAGGAAAGTGGGAAGTGGTGATAGGGAAGCATTGATTTTCTGAGTGTTGCTCCAGTAGTCAACTTGTGTTACCCTGGGGAGCCTGCTGAGTGATAGACAGTGCTAGGAAACCTTGAGGAGTGGTGCCTGGCTCCGACTCATTGGTAGACGGTCCACTGTCAGCTTCAGCCTCCAAAGAGCCAATGGTCTTCTCCAGGAAGAGCAGACACTCCTTCTCTTCAGCAGACAGGAAGTCGTAGCTACTGTCACTCTGCTGAGAGAGGGAATTGTGAGAGGGAGCACACAATTCTCTGTACACAAAAACTAGCAAGCAGAAACTAGTAAGCCTAAGAATCACCCTGATGTGGGAAAGAGTACCGAAAAGCTGGCATCTTTCCCTGGGCTGCTCTGCTGGCCTGCTGAAGCTGCTTCCTATGCTGGTATGTACCAAAGACGATAGGGATTGTCAGGCTAGGGCCCCACCAGGATCTAGTACTGGAGGCCAGGCAGGCAGATGGCAAGAGGTCTTCCTTTTGCTTAGTCCTGGGTAGGTATCTTTGGGGGCAAAGATCAGAAGCAGCTCTAGGTTTTAATTTCAGTTCTGTGTAATTTTAATCACCATTTCACCAAGTGTTTCCCATATAACTCTAAATTTTATAGGTAGTAAAATGGCTTTACCTGAAAACTGAATGGTATCTCTTTTAACTTTATAAAGTATTTCTGCAAAGGAGCAATGGGACTATAAGAAATTTGGCCTGAACTTTTCCTTGGCATTTCTATGCTGCTTCCTAATATTTGGGGTCCTTCAGAACTGTACACTGTCCAGACCCACCAAGATGGCTAGGGAAGATGCTGGGATCATCCTAAAACTATCCTGGGGAGTGGGAAAGAGGCTGTTAAACAATCCATCCAGCTGCACCTGCCAAAGTCCCAAATACAGCTCATGGAGTTACTTGAAAAAAAAAAAATCTTCATTACTGCCCTCTTCCTCCTAAACAGTCTTGCCAAGAATAAGCCACTGCTGAATTTCTCCTTTATGGATGATTCTTTGAAAACTTGAAATTCCTATCACATTCTTTATCCAGTGAAATGTAACTATTCATACTGGTCTCTACCAATCAAAAACAGGATGTCTCAGTGGTCCCAATGTGTGTGTGTTGCTTTTCCAACCTTGTCTTTGTATATCAAAATCTATGAACTTACTAGGTAGCCAGGTGTTGTGGGCACAGTACTGCGTTCTAGACTGACCCTGTCTCCAAAACAAATGAACAAACTGTTAAGGTTCGGATAGCCCCGCCCCCTCACCAACGGGATCTCAAGGACTTCTCATGCTCCTGAGAAAAGGAAACCTAGCTGATAAGCACCTTGGTCTTTGAAGTCAAGAGAAGCAGACTTTTCTCCACAGTTTGGCCACCATAGCAGGCTTCCCCTTTGATCTCTAAAGAGAACAGGTTTTAACAGTCCTGCTCTCCCACTTCCCCTACTCAACTTCAAAAAAAAAAAAAAATACATCTTTCCGCCTTCTGCAGGAAGCAGAAGTCTCCCTTTTTAAAAAGACCCCAGCTCAAGTCCCGGGCAGACATTTTCCCTGCCTGGAAGGAATCTGTCCCATGTGTTCCTTTGACCCTATTTTCTATTTTG